GGCTTTTTTTTTTTTTTTTTTGCAAGGCTGTCTGTCACCACCGCCCATGTGGCAGTTCTTGTCTCTTTTTACTTTCCGTCTCAGCTCGGGTGGGGTTTTTTTTGTCTGTTTTCTGTCCTCTTGTGTTAAAGGGCACCTGTGTACAGCTGCTTTCTGCTAGCTACTGAACACACTTTGCTTGCATCCCCTGGTTCCCTCAAAGCTTTTCTCCTGTAGTGGTATTTTCCACCACTGAGGACTTAACATGGCCTTTTCCTGCACTGTCTGTGTTACTGAATCCTGTTCTGCGAACCAAATGCATGCTTCCAAAGCTCTAACTCAAGCAGTTGCCACTGCATTTGAGTATTCGTAAACCCTGTTCCTCAGGCCAGATATCATTTATAGTCTACAATTTTGGTCCTTCACAGATTTACTAATGTGTTTTAGTTTGCTCTCTCTGAGAAGTCTGGTGGAACTGGTCTCATGGTTATCAGGATTATAACATGTCTGCCACATGTCTGTTTCCAAGAACTGTTTTCACCATGCAGAAAGCTAAGCAGTCTTTGTAGGGTCTGGAACTGTGTGCATAGCAGGGTGCAAGAGCAGATTTATGGGGCAAGCCTGGTGTTCCCATCAGTGCTACACATGCTCACCAAGTGACACAAGGGAGGAGAAGCCATGTTGCCCCATGGGCCTGCCCCCATCACCACTGCAACTGAACCCAGTGGGCCTCCTGGCATCATTAGAAATACTACTGACATTGCTATCTTGTCCTGTATTTTAATGCCTTTTAAACTGGCTTGTCTCTGGAATATCCTCATGAAACTGTTCCCTTTGTTCTTGTTTCTATAAGGCTATGTTAACTAATTTATCCTCCTTTACTGATTAATGTTAAGGCTCCCATGTTAGTAATTCCCAGAGCCAAGGCTTTGCCAAGGCAGTGCTTTTTGTGTATGGTAGGTTTTATGTGTTCTTTATTTGTTCTTCACTACACTGGAGTTGATTATTACTTTGTACAGAAGATTTTCATTGCTGTTAGAATTGAGACTTTTGTAATTATGAAAATCAATGATAAACCCAAAGTTACTCTATGATAGGTCTCAGGGAGGTGGTGATTCAAAAGGTGCTGCTGAAGAGCAACCTGTGCTTCCCACCAGACTAACATCACATCTGAAAATTAGGGGATGATCAAACAGCTATAAAGGATGTTGTGGGGACCTGCAGAAATTTGGTCCAGCATATCCGTAACATTGGGACAGTGAATCAGTTTGTTCAGAAAAGAATGAGGAAAAAAAAAAAAGCACCCATATTACTGTATCTGAACTAGCAAACCCAGTATCTGATTCAGAAGGAAAGAAACAAAAGAGGTTTGGGAGAAGGCGGGAACTGGGGAGAGGTTTGTCGCAGACAGAGTTTGTTCTGAACTAAAAAGAAATCTTATAAATTTATTGCAAGATGAAACTGGCAGTGTACCTGCAGCAAAAGGGAATAGAGCCATGATGAAAAAAAAAAAACAAAAAACCCAAACTGAATCACTGCATGCTGTTGAAAGTAAAAGCAATGAATACTTCAGCTTCAGATTTATCACAGTCTGCCATCAACATGTAAGAAAGATTTCAGAATTACTAGGCCAACTGATGATTCCAAACTTGCAAAATGTTTTAATAGGCTGAAATACTGAAGTGAAAATGAGTCACAGATTATTCCAAGATAGAAGCTGTAGAAAGTGCCATCCCAGCTGTCAGCCTAGGATTAACTAGGCTGGAGGTATGATCTCATATTCCCTCATGTGAGATTTCAAAGACAAATTATGCTAAAACCACATCACTGAGTTGTATCAGGAATCAACTGAGGCAGTTCAAGAACTGCAGTTCAAGGCATTCTGTAAGATTTGGTTACATTTCCTGGATCAAACAGCAGACCTTCAAAAAACAAACTTTGCATCAGAGAAAAAGTATTTTAGAATGCTAAAATAGTATTGGCTTGTTTTCTACAGTCCTTTTTGTATAATTACATAATGGGAAACATAAACCTAAACCTGGATTTAGTTGTAGATAAGACCTTCTGTTGAAAAATAAAACAGATCCAAAGCCTGTAGCACTGAAGCAGAGCCTGAACTCAGTAAGCATCTTTTTTAGTTCTGAAAAAGGGTAACTTAGGATCTCAGGACCATCAAAGAATATACATTGCTAAAGCACAGAAGCAGCATAGAAGTGGAAAAAGATCATTAAACTGGTTACTTGTGAAAATTGTCCCCTAAATTATGTGGAAGTTTAAAGGCAGAAGAATGATGATATTTGCTGTCAAATGCCAGTTGAAGAGCTCTCCTGAAATACATGGCCAGTGCTGTGTAAGTAATAACAGGGTACATTGAGGAGAGGTGTTAAGTTAGTATCGTATTCAGGAAACAAATAACAGGTTATAAACATAAGTGATCAGGCTAAAGTGAAGTAATATTTGTCCTGATTGCTAGTGAGCACAAAGAACACATAATCAGTGAATTTTCAGGCAGTGAAGGAAATCTGCCTCACATTTAAAATATCATTAGGAAATGTTAGTTCAAAAGAATGCCATATTCAGCACTCAAGAAAGCATAAGTGTATGGCACATCAGCAGGGAATAAGTGTCATCATTCCTAATGAAGATGCTCCAGGACGTAAGAGGAAAAGCACTAAGTTACTTGGAAAAACATGCATATATGTTAGTGAATTAATGGAGGAAAGTAGCAGCATTATGGGGTACAGGAGCAAAAGTGTGAGAGATATGAATGGAAAAGAAACCATCTCCCAGTACAGACATAAGACTCACTGAAGAATTCTTTAACTTTTTAAGAGAAACTAAATACATAAACATTGAATTAGAGCCCAGGAAGACTGAACTTAATTGCAGTGCTGTTTTTATCTCATATATTACAGTGTTGTACCATGTGCCAGTGAGTTGTATGGAGTAATCCATAATAGACTTCAGTGTCAAGGAAGAGGGAGTGCTCCCCATCAGTGTCCTTTTCTCACCATGCCTGTAACTCTTAAACTCAGCAATCAAAAATACCTGGGCTTCAAGCCACATCACAAGCCTTTCATGAGCTGCGGGATGCCTCCCTCTGTTTATAACACCCTGCAGAGGCTGACTGGAGAGTAGTGGGAGGATTGCTACGTGAAGAATTTCCCTCCTCCATTGAACATGGTTCAAACAGGCTTGTCAAATGCTTGGGAGTTCACATTAAGTGAACAGGTAAAGGCTCACCAAGAGATGCTTTTGTGTAAAAAAGGCTTACTCGAGAATAGGTACAAGTCAGTAGTCACCATACTCCTCACTGGCTGTATGTGAAAAGGATGGCACCTTAAATTTATGCACAGATGTCAGAGACTCAAACAAGCAGATTACACCTGTAGACATCCTATACACAGAATTCAAGAGAACTTTATCATTTAAGCCACGGTCACAGAAGTGTTTTGACCCTGCTAAGACAATTCGTTACAAGTCAGAAATGTCAACCCAAAGTCAGCATAGTTCCACCCAAGGATGGCATATTTAGGCCAGGATGAGTCAGGACTAAATTTGTCCTGCTTTAGATGTGTAGCTGTCAGTGTGCCACCTTTGACAAATGTCTTGGCACCTGTGAAGGTGTGAGTCATTCTGGATTTTGCCTTTGGCTTTCTAGGGCTTCTGCTCTAGCTTGGTGCTTGGTGGGAGGTAAGCGGTGAGTGCAGGTGACCAGAGGTGAGGAGGCTGGATTGGGTGAGGGCCTCCCTCCTGTAGCAGCTAGCTGTTATTTCCGCTCAAGCCCTGGCAGGAATCCAGCACCCCCTTAGTTTTAGATGAAAAAATCAATCTTCTCTATCTTTGATCACAGCACATGTTATCCCTGAGGATTTCTAAGTGAATGAAGAACATACCTGCCAATATTCACTGCATTTATAAATGGGTTCATTCTCCTTTGGGGCTTACTTGCATTACTACAGAATTAAATGGGAAATATCTCAAATATGAGACATTAATTAAGGAATCTCCCTCCTAATTTGCCAGAGCTTGTCTACAAGGAAGAAATTGGGAGAATCTTAGAAAGGTTTTCAATAGTCAGTGGAGTCACGAAATCAAATGTAACTTAAACAAACATGGTTTGTTCATGTGACAAGTACCCTGCTGTATCAGGTCTGATGGCCAGTCCTCCATTTTGAAAACCAGATATCCCTTCACTAGCATTGAGAACAGACACTGGCTCAAGGGAATAGAAATAATAAATTGAATTTAAAACTGGAAAAGCAAATTTAGGCATCTCATGTTGCTCTGGAGAATTATTACATGAGAAAAGCTGAAAAGTATGGCAAGGATTGTCAGGGATACAGAATTCTGTGCTAATCCAGTGATTCCAAAGCAGAACTCCTCAGCCTGAAAATAAGAGCTGACCAGTGAAAAAAATAGTGATAAAATCTACAAAGTCATGAATGACAGGGAGAGGGTGGTTAACAACAGTTGTTGCTCACCTCTTCTAGTACAAATGAAAGCACGTCAGATTAAATGAACAGGTGGATGGCTTAAAGCAAACAAAAAGAGACACTTCACACCACGCATGTTGAGAGCTAGGAAACACTTCACTGCAGAACATGTTCAGTGACCTTGGCAGCGTTGGGTTAACAGTGGACTCGGTGATCTTAAATGTCTTTTCCAACCTAAATGATTCTATGATTCTATGATATAAATGTACCTGATTTCAAAAAGTGACTGGCCAAATTCACAGAATAAATTCTATCATAGACTATGTAATTCAAATGTTATCTCTGGCTTAAAAAAAAAAAACAAAACAAACAAAAAACGGAAAACTAGATTTCTGGCAGCTAGAAATAAATTTTACATGCTTGCCTTGTTCCTATATTCTTCCCTAAGCATCTTGTATTGGCTGATGTTGAAGTCAGCTTATGCTGCTAGATAGGTCTTGGTCTAACTTGGTATAAATTCTCCTTGTGT